CATTCTTGCTTCGCTTAATGATGTTCTCTCCTTAAGTGTCAGTATTTCACCCTCCACAACCACTTCTTCACACCCCAAATTTAGGCCAGTGTCTAAAGTAGGTCTCCTAATAGTTCTAAAACTTGCTTCTCTATCAAATGGGATCTACAGAGAGCCCACAACTAGTCTACATTTTAGGGGGACGTGTGTCTGACAAAAGTGTCTTCTGAGGACTGGCACTTACGATAGGGGTTCCAAGCAGGGAGAGCTTCAGTATTCACTCAGATCCAGTATAAGAAATAGTCACAAGAAGAATGCTCAGTCTTCTTTGGAAGGTACCCATTAAGGTGCTTACACAAAATTTACAGAAGGCTCCCCCAGTATAGTGCAGACATCACACCTGATTGGTATTACTAGCCCTGTGTGCTCCCAATTAATTAATGCTCAGTCCACGGTGTCTTCTTGCATTTGAGGTACCATAAAGCACAGGATGCTTCTTGTTCTAGGTCTAGCTCTAATGATGTGTCAGTCAAATCAGTGTTTAAATTGTCCAAGCCTGAGTATCATCATCTATGAAATAAATGTAATTGACACCTGCTTTGCAGATTGTGTTGAGAACCAAGTATGGAGCCTGGCAAATCTGTTCAGCCATCTGTAGGAGATGCAGTGCTTAGTGCTAAGCTCTCCTCACACTTGAACTCATTCTAGAAAAAAGCCAGAAAGACCAATAAACCAAAGCCTACAGATGATACAAGAGTGCCTCAAGGCAATAAAGACACTGATGCAGCGGAGGGAAAGTGTTAAGTGAATGGATAGTGAAAATGTGGCACAGCACTGTGGAAATGAACAGCAGGCCCCAGTCTTAGTCAAAGAATTGTTGTCTGCTGATTACTGCTGGGTGAGGAAGAGCTGATCTTCTTGAAGAAAGAGACTCTAGATAGGCTGACTAGACCCCAGTGGATGAACTTGCACTGAGGGACATCTGGGGACACTAACCTTACATAATAGGCCTTAAGACAAATGACAGAGTGCGTGAACTCTAGTGGGGGGTGCTATGGGAGGGTTCCAAAGGGGAAGGGAGTGTAAAGATGACTTCCTGTATGAAATACACAAAAATTCAATACAAAATTTAAAATCTTTTTTAAAAAAGGAAATGTTACATTTACACAATGGAGTTCTACTAATCCACAAAGAAAAACTAAATCATGAAATCTGCAGCTAAATAAATGGAACTATAAACTGTTATCCTAAGTGAAGGCATGTTCTCTCTCATCTGTGAATCTTAGCTTAAAATCCTTAGATGTAAGTATGTATCCTGATGTAACCACAGGAGCCAGGAAAATGAAAAGGAGCCATGGGGATAAAGAGGAAGAAGACTGAGAGAGAAGGATAGTAGGAGACAGGTGTTACCAAGTGTGGAGTGTGGAAAATGGGGATACTTTAACTCGAGAGGGAACAGGGAAGTCTATATAGGGTAAAAACAGGAAAGAGGAATAAATAATGTTTAGGTGGTATAAAAGACCAGAGGGAAATGTATTTGTTCAAAAACCTACTGAAAAATTCTCATAAAATATAAATGTGAGTACATGTGTATAGTTGAAGGCTATATAGCAAAAATCACAGTGTTGTGTTGGGGACTCCTGCTGTGTAAAGTAGCAGTCTCTCCATGTCCAGATAGCCTATGGGCTCGGATTCAAATGCAGAGACTCCTTTTATCTGCAGGGTGCCTTCCCAGCATCTTCCTGACTCATCTGTGAAGTGACCGCCACAGATGCCCTACCATAAACATGGCCTCTGGCTCTGAAACTGCCAGCTTTTCCTGTGTGATTTTCAGACAATGTCTGGCAGCATGGCAGGAGCCCACCACCACATGTAAATGAGGCATCCTAAAAGTACCTATCAGCTAAGGCTTTTACCACTACCCCCACAGTATAAAGTATCCTGGTTTTCCCTCAATAATTGGAGCTGGATCACTAAGACTTGGAGCCAAGCTAAGTCACTGAATAAAGGGGCTGTACCACTGACTGAGCTGAGTCCTGTGTCTTACTGCCTATGATCCAGTCTCCCTGGGGGGTGCTATCCTTCCGTCATCGACTCACGGAAATCCAGCTTTCACCATCCTCACACATCCCCACGTGATCCAGCGGCCAGTGGATTTCGTATCTCGAGGGAGTGCACGGTGGAAATTGGGATGGAACCCGACCAGGCCAGCCCCGGTAGCAGAGACCCACAGGGACGCGGTGCGGGACCCGCTGCACCCCAGGTGCACGCAGGAGACCGGCGCCATGCCCAGCAGCTGGCGCCCCGAGATCCCCGCACCCCCATAGTGTTGGGCAAGGGAAACTCCCCTTTGAGTTGTTGGTCAGGGTAGTCCAAGAGAATCCCAACATAACACAGGCTATTGCCACACCCCTTGACTGCCTCCTAGAACATGAAAGCAAGACCCTATTGCTGATGATATGACATACTTTGGACACAGAACTTGGAGCAGTCAAGCTGGAATTGACCTGGAAGCCTCCTCCTTAAAGACTAGACCTCATAGTATCAAAGGACACTATGTAAGTTGCCAAGGGAGAAAAACGAATCAATGGTCCTACTCAGCTGTAGAACCTTCAAACTACAATGACTGGCCCAGCAAATTATCTCTATTGGTTCAATAGTGGCATTCTTATCTTAGGGGGTAATTGACAGCTATCTAATTGGACTTAAGGCCCATTCAATGGAAGGGAGCTCATTTGTGGTACTGTAAACATATCCAAGTACACATGGTTAGAAATAGCATAGATCCTAGAGAAAAACCTACTTTTGTCACATCCTTAGACCAATGTAATGTCTTACTGTATTCTAAATATATATACCCTTATGTTTACAAACAAGTGTACCTCTCACTACTCATCAAAGAAGCATATTTTTGCAACAGATGGAGACTAGTACAAAGTTCTATAACTGGTCAAAAACAGAGAGTAAGTGTCTGTGAGGTGCCTAGCACTAAGTGACACATCTGCAGTTCACCCTCTACACCTAAGGCTCAGAGAACACAGAGGAAGATGGGATGGAAAGAATGTAAGAAGCAGGGGGACAAGACACCTGCTGCTACATGATAGGGAGGCTGCACCAAGGAAACCTCCACACTGTGGCAGTCTAACAAGATCTACATATAATACAAAAAACAGTTGGCATACCATGGTAGATGGGGGAAACCTCAAGGGGTCCTACCTCAAGATGAAGAGGTATAGGCAGTCAATGGATGCTGACAGAGAGAGAGAGAAACAGTTTTCTCCAGGGACTAGCCCCTGAGAGGTTATGACTCCAAGTGGGCAGTCCTAAACACAGGTACACAGGAGCACCACTGAATGGACTTGGTGTGATATATATATATAAAATAATCAAGGAAGGGGACAGGAAATTTAGAGGGAGTGGGGGGGTGCTGGAGGTGTAGAAATGGTGTGAAGACTATACTCATGTATGATGATGACAAAAAAACAAAAAAAAAGAGGTGGCCTGGCCAGGCATGATGGCGCTCATCTTTTATCCCAGCAGAGGCAGGTCTCTGAGCTCAAGAGCAGCCTGGTCTATATAGTGAGGCAAGGAGAGACTGCGTCAGAGAGTGCAGCTAGAGAAAATTGCTCTCTGGGGAAAATGGGGTGAGAATGAGCAAGCCATATAATGATGGGAGCAAAGCACTGTAGGCAGAGGATTGGAACAGCCAACCTGGGGAAGGGAAATCATTTGGTAAGTGTAAGGAGGCCAGGAGGGCTGGAGCAGAGAGTGTGGCAGGAGATAAGGTCAGTGGCGAACAAAGACTGCTTGGCTCTAACAATCACTGTTTGCCTTAGAGGGTTCATGATCTGTGGGCCTTGTATTACAAGTAGTTTCAAATACTTTTAAAGAGGCCAGTATGTAAAGAAAAAAGTGGATAAAGTCATTAATTAGAAATATAATATTAGGGTTAGAGGTGTAGGCCAGTGACAGGGCAAGCATGCATGAGGCCCTGGGTTTGGTTCCCAACACCAAATAATAATAATAATAATAATAATAATAATAATAATAGTATAAACACTATATATATTTGAAGATTGTCTATATATCCTAAGCTGGCCCCAAGCTCCTCATCTCCCTGTCTCAGGTTCCTGAGTGCTGGAATTAAAGGCATGAGGCATGCACCACTAAGCCTGGACCAAGAAATAATTTTAATAGCTAACCTTTTACTGAGAGCTTACTATGAGGTTTATATGATTTAAACATTTCATTTTCCAATAACCTATTTGGTAGATACTATTATTACTTTCTTTGTATAGAAGAGGAAATGAGGCGCAGGGGGTTTAGCAGACTAGCTAAAGCTGAGGCAGAGAAGGCAGTTATGATCAGGGTTTGAATCAGGCAGTCTGAGTCACAAGCCAGGGCTCCCAGCCACTGCATTGTCCTGCCCCTTTTGGGCACAGAGCTAATGTGATTCACTTATTTGATAGCACATCCAAGTTGGTCTGTGTTTATAACAGTTATTGTGCTTGCTAGTAGAAGAACATATATTTGCAATCCATAATTGTTTGTCTTTATCAGGGATTGTCATAGCTCTAAATTCTTTGTTATCAAGAAGTAGGATCCAAAGGAACATGAAAAAATCCCTCTTCCAAGAAAAAAAATCTCTAATTAATTAGCATTTTAGCAATTGCTTTCAATTTGTAGAACTTATCTGCTATTAAATTATATCCATAATTTATGGTTCAGATGTTTATGTGGGTCAAAGTACGCCAGCTTGCAAATAGCTACTGACGTGCTCTCTTGAAGATACCAATAATGTATGCTAAGCAGACATGATGAAGATGTATTTTATTACTTAAATAATTCTGACCCAAGAAACTGAAGCAGTCAAAATAGTCTGTGGATTTTTGTTTAAAATTCATTTTCAATGAGTGATTTTTCAGGAGTTCTGCTTTCATGTAGAATCTCTGATGTGTCCAAAGCCCACCCAAAGTTGAAGCCCCCATATTCCCAAGCAGTTTGCTGTCTGCCTCACTTACATTCCCATCGTGATTTGGGCATGAGAGAGGCTTTCCTGCGGCCACAGCAGTGACCGTCTCCAGGATGGAAGACTCCTCAACGTTGCTGCCTGGCGTTCGCTGCAGCACATCCATGAGGTTTGTGATGAAGAAGTTGTTCTGGAGTGCGGCCACCCCTTTCTCAGGCAGGATGGAGGTCTGGCGACACACCGGACAGGAGAGGGTTAAGCTGTGGGCAGGAATATAGTTCTGCAGGCACCTGTTGTAGAGCACATAGGAGGACAGTCAGCACAGAGCTGTTCTTTTAGAGCACCACTTCCTGAAGGTGTCATTCATGTCCTAGGTGACACATGGGCTACTTTGCAGAAGCCTTTGCGGGATCCTGTATCAGGGAAATGCTGTTTCAGAAAACAGAGGCTAACCTGTCCTCACATTGACTCTGCCCACTGGCCAGACGATGACTGTGCTCCAGGAAAAGCAAATGTCATAGTCTTCCATAGCAGTCCTTGAGTGTAGTTTAAGGACAAGCAACATTGACCTTCCAAGGAGCTTGGTAGAAAGGAAGAATATTAGGTCCCTAGACATACTGGACCAGATGCCCATGTGACTTATACACACATTAAAGGTGGAGAAGCATTATTCTATAAGCAATGAATTCTTACAAATGTGGACTTTAGAAAAAAAAACATGTCAAATGTTTTAAATAATACTGAAATTCATTTTACACACAAAACTATAATCAGATTTTAAAAGTATTTTTGTGTGTGTATGAGTGTATTGCTTACATGTATGTAAGTTCACCATGTTGTGCAGTGCCTGAGGTCAGAAGAAAGTATCGGATCCCCTGGAACTGAAGTTAGGACAATGGTTAGGTGTCATGTGGGTGCTGGGATTCAAACCCGGGTCCTCTGCAAGAGCAGCCAGTGTTCTTAACCTCTGAGCTATCTCTCCAGCCCCTATAGCCACATTTGAAAAAAAAAAAATCAGAATGGAAATGTTTGATTGAAGCAAGGGGGGACACCCAGACCCAGTCACACCATCTCTGCTTGCTTCTCCCTATGAGGTACTGATTTAATTCATTTATTTAAAGAAAGAAATGTGTCACTGATAATGACCATCATATTTACTGTAAATGACATTTGAAATACTTCCATGAGCATAATGGAGGAGGTGCCATTATGGTTCCATTGGATAGACAGAGAAACACAGCCAGAGAGAGGGGCTAAGTGACTTGCCTAGAGTTCAGAGTTAAAGCAGGAATCTAAACCCAAGCAGTGTGACATCACAACCTAACCTCTAACTAGTAAGAGTTGGAGCTGGGATTGCAGTTGTGGTACATTGCTTACCCAGCATGCATGAGGCCCTGGGTTTCATTCTAGTACCACAGAAATGAAAACAAAATGACACTATATAATATTTTCCAGTTGCTTAGCCAGAGTTTGAAAACCACTGATTTGGCCTCTTAGTTTTTCAGATGAAGAAAGTGACTGTTCTAGTTTGCATTCATTTACTGTGATAAAAACACTGACCAAGATGCTGGAGAGATGGCTCAGTGGTTAAGAGCACTGGCTGCTCTTGCAGAGGACCTGGGTTCGATTCCCAGAACCCACATAGCAGCTAACGATCATTTCTAACTCCAGTTCCAAGGAATCTAACACCCTCTTCTGACCTCCATGGACATTGCACAGCACAGGTGCACTTATATACATACAGGCAATACACTTATACACATAAAATAAAAAAACACTGATCAAAACTAACTTGGGCAGGAAAGGGTTTATTTGGCTTACAGCACGGTTCATCATCAAGGGAAGCCAAGGCAGGAACTCAGGGCAGGAACCTGGAGCACAGACCATGGAGGAACACTGATTACTGGCTTGCTCCTTTGGCCTGTGCTCAGCCTTCTTTCTTATACAATACAAGACCACCTGCTCAGGGGTGGTAATGACCACAGTGGGCTGAGCCCTTCCACATCCCTCAACAATCTAGAAGATACCCCACAGACATGGACACAGGCCAATCCAATGGAGACAATTTCTCAATTGAGGTTCCCTCTAACCAGGTATGTCAAGTTGACAACTAAAGCTATCCAGCACAGTGACATTATGTAGGGTTAGCTGATCACTATATCCTAGAAACATGATGATATGCTAAGATCACAAATGATATCTAAGCCCAAGAGGTATTCATCAAGTTGACATTGCCCAACCACCCTTTTCTGCATTTTATCTTCCTTTGCCTTTATGGCACCTGGCTCTCCTGTCTGCTCTATCTTTTCTGAGTTAATAAAGCTTGGGTTACTCAAGACTCCATCCTAATAGCTCTTCTTCCTCTAGGATCTCATAACGCTATGAATACAATGTACATTTACGTTTCTTCCTATAGATATCTCTTCTAAGCTCTATATGAACTACTACTGGACATCTCTTAGATATCTCCCAGATTACAAAACTCAACAGGTGCCTCTTCCTATCTTGAATGGAACCTCCAGACATTCATCTAAGCAAAACAGAAACTAGAAGTCATTCATCAAACAGTAATTCCCCTACTGCCCTTCATTTCCCACAGTGAGCCCATAATTATAGTCTGTCTGTTCCTAAATATCTTTCCAACCTTTCCATGTCTCTTCATGCCCGTTCTATTTCATAGACTTGGACAATAGCCTTACACCTGGCATATGGTCATCTATCCTTGTCTGTAATCTTCCGTATTGCAGTCAGAGTGGCCTTCTCAGAATAAGAAAACCATCTAAATTTCCCTCTCCTTCCATTGAGCTGAAAACCCACTATGGTTTCCCCTGCTCTTATAATGCAGGTTAGCATCCAATACGGTAACATGGATTTCCCATGGCTTTGACATCCCACGGCTTTGAGCTAGTACTTACGTGTTCTTGGTCTCTTCCCTTCACTTGCTGTACGTCTACCACAGAGGCCCTGTGTTTTCCCTGTCTCCTGGTCCTTTACTATGACACTTCTGCACATCCTTTCCATCCTTTCCTCCTACCCACTGCCCTTTGCTTAATTTTCACTCATCTTGGGTTTTTTTTTTTTAGCCGTGTCTTCTGCAGAGACCTTCCTCAGTTAAGGCAATTGCTCCACTGCATAGTTTCCCGTGGCATTTGATGTGTAGCACTTGTCCTCAGTTAATATTAATTGGAATGACTGGTATTTGTAACTGGTTTCTCCAGTAGGCCAGAGAGGTTGTCTGGTTTTGCTCTCTTTTCAAGCCTCATTAATGGTGCCTTAGAAGACGTGAGGCCAAGTGACCAACTGTGAAGACGCTTGGTGTGTACATCTAGCATAAAGGGCCCTAGCGCTCAGTCCTCTGACAATGAGACAAGCTGTAAGTCCTGTCTCTGCAGCAACTAGCCCTTCTAAGGAAACCTGCTAAGCACCGTCAAAGCAGTCGCTCTGATGAGCACACTGCTAGAACAATTCTAATGCACAGCATTCCATAAGGACTCCCCACAGGAGGATTTCTTAAATTTCTACCACTCCCTGGTGGACAGGAACCAGAGGTAGGTAGGGTCAGACCCTGGGCCGTTCAGAAGTGTTGCCTCTCATCTATTATGGTGAAGAAAGGGGACTCAGAAAAACTACTGAGCAGACACTAAACACAAGAATGGGTAGTTTTGTTGCATTCAGGCTGTTGACTCTCAGCTGGTGTATAATTGTGTACAGTGACAGGCTATGGTGGTTGCTGCAAATCAAGTCATCATGTCACGTGCACATAGGGACAAAGCAGCAATTCACTAGTATTCATGTTTAGCCAATCAGTGTTGGGGGAGGTTACTATTTAATCATTTTAATTTCTATTATTTATTTTTGTTTCATGTGTCTGAGTATTTTACCTGCATATAAGTGTACCACATGCATGCAATGTCTGACTAGAAGAGGGCATCGGATTCCCCTGGAACTGGAGTTCCTGATGCTTATTAGCCACTGTGTGGGTGCTGGGAACTGAACCTGGGTCTTCTGTAAGAACAGTCAGTGCTCTTAACTGCCCAGTCATCTCTCTATTAATTAATTCTATTTAATTATTTTAGAATATAAATTACAAAGCACTTAATAAATAACCATGTGTAAAGTGAAAGTATGGATGCACTGTACATATCATCACTAAAATAAACAAAGCACAAACACAACCCCAAATGCAAAGAAAACCCACAACTAGCAAGACTTTCCCTCCCTCTCTCTATTGCCACTGTCAAAGCTGAGATCATTCTACAATCAAGACCCTCCAAAGTAAGCAAACCAACTCAAAAATTTAAAAAATCACCAACCGGATAACAAACATATGTTGAACTGGATGGTACATACAATCAGCATACACTTGAAGCCATTGGAAGCACTGATTTCATGGTCTATAAATAGGAAGTAAACTATTTTAATTACATCTATTAAGTAATAGAAAATATATTTAACAAAATGTTCACAAACATAATTACAATATTTTTTAAAGAAAAATATACATACAGACTTGCTAAGGAAATACTTGAATCGAGCTACAAATAAACTAATTACCAACTTTTTTTTTCTGTTTCTGTTGTCTTTTTGAGACAGGGTCTCCCTCTAGCCCCAGCTGACCTGGAACTCACTAAGTAGATGAGGCTGGAAATGCAGCTCAGCTAGACTTGGAGCAGAAACATGTTTTTTGGCTGTAGAGCCCTTTAGATAGGCAAAGAAACAGAGCTTTAGGAAAGTCTATAAAATTATCTGAAATTTTTATTTCTTTTTTTTTTTTTTTTTTTTTTTTTTTTTTTTGTCTTTTTGAGACAGGGTCTCCCTGTAGTCCCAGCTGACCTGAACTCAGTATGTAGACCAGGCTGGCCTTGAACTCACAAAGATCCACCTGCCTTTGCTTCCCAAGTGCTGGGACTAAAACCGTGTGCCCCACTCCCCACCTGTTTTTCTTTTTTTTTAAGGCAAGATCTCACTATATAGCGCCGACTGTCCTCAGATTCAGTGTTCTGCTGTGTCAGCCTCCTAAGTGCTAGGATTCCAGGCATGTGTTGCCATGCTTGGCTTACTAACAGCTTCTTACACTTAACTTCTTGCGTAGTAAATAAACCATGCAGTAAAAGTGTATTTTGATAACCAGTTAACACCCTCTCCAAAAGAAAAGTACTCTTTTAACAGACATAGTGGCAAATGCCTTTAATCCCAGCAGTGTGTTTGGGGGGAGGTATAGAGGCACATGGATCTCTGTGACATTGCAGACAGCCTGTTTACATAGTAAGTTCCAAATCAACTGGGGCTACAGGGAGACCCAAACTCAAACAAAATAAAGAAAAAAATACTCTTTTAAGAACAATAAAGAATAAATAAGGAAGTGTGTTTTCTTTTAAAAATTCACAATTATGTATAACAGTTACAAGTCTATGCATGTATATATCATCATAGAAACTACCATATCTTTGGAAGTGCTGTCCTTTGAATTAATCCCTTATATATGAAGGTATTTTACCTGAAACGATTGAAGGATTTGTAACTGGGCTTCACAAAGGACTCTCTGTAAGGGAACTGCCATTGGCAAACCTGTTTCACAGAGAGCCAAGAGAAAATTTAACTTTTAAAAATTTTAGACTACTTAATATTTAAAGTGACATCTCTTATGGAAGTGAGCCAGTGGTTCCTGGGTGCTTTCTCCTACTTGCTCTTGTTTGAAATGAGGTAAGTCATTGGTAAGTCCTGATTGGGTTCCTAGATGTTTGTCAGAATTACAAGTCGTTCAATGTTTCCCTTGGGTAAGGGCAGAATCCTAGTAAACAGCCTGTGGCAGGTGGCAGAAAGTGAGTGTGTGAGCACAGATGAACCTTACCTCTCACAGAACGTATGGAGACAGGGCAGGACCTTGGGGTTCTTGTACCGTTCCAGACATATACTGCAGATCAGAAACTGCTTGTCGATCTGGCGCACCACAGGACTTGGGATGCTGGCGCCCTCACTGGCCATCCTAGACCACTGACATGGGGGGCCGGCTGTTCTCGACCCTGCACGCTGCTGCTGTCAGACAGAGAAAAACGAAACACACAATTAGGCACCTGTATGTGCAAACCAATCCTTGGCTTTTTCACTCTAAACACAGGTATAAGTCAAAGTCAGTGACCTCAAAGTGCCCAGAGCTAGTTCTTAGTGCTGTGAGAGGACTACTAAGCTTCCTGTTGTTTGTCCTATTATAAATCAATAAAATAATCACATCTTCCCCACACAAACAATAGATTAGGAGAGGGAGTGTTCTATCAAGAGAATTGCTTTCTGAGTTACAAAGTAGAGTGATGGTGGAGGGGATCAATACATACCTATGTCTACACATACCTTTACTCATGACTATATTTGAATATACATTTGCCTTTTATATTTGTATTGAATTCAGTGTTTCTTGGTTACTATACTTGAGGAGACTAGAATATGCCACCCCCAAACAAGTCACTTTGTTATAAGGATTACTTTGAACTGAAAGCTGTTGAGTAGTGTGTAGTGATCCAAGAAACTTTTCCCCTATTCTCTTATGTTATGTATGTACCTGGGGCCTGTCAATTAAATTGAAAAAAGACTGACAGGAGAAAAAGATGTACAGATTGTATTGATATTAATTTTATTTTACATGTACTTATTTACTTTTTGTGTGTGTATGTGTCCAGCACATGTGAAGGTCAGGAGACAACTTGTGGAAATTAGTTCTCTCCTTTTATGATGTGGATCCCAGGGACTGAATTCAGGTCCTCAAGTTTGGCAGCAAGCTCCTTCACACACTGACCCATCTCTCCAGCCCTGATGTTAACACTTTTAACTACATATGCTCAGGCATTTCATAGACAAGAGGTGAAAACCCAAGGAGGGTATTGGATTTGGGGATTTATAGAACATTTTAACAACAGCAGACACAAAAGATATCTGTCTTTCCCCATTGGTCTAAAATGGACATAAATTTTCCTTTTGAGAAGGACATTTCTGTTTGTAAGAGTATCACTTTGGGGGCAAGGAGATAACTGTGTGGGTAAACATACTTTCTGCAAAGTCTGATGACCTGATTTCGATCCCTGGGTCCCATAAGATAGAGACAGAGAACTGAATTTCCTAAGTTGTCCTCCGACCTCAAACACATACCATGACATACACAAACCCACCCATGTACACACACACATGCACAAAAAATAAGAAACTGAAATTTAAAATTTTTTTAAGAGTCCCCTTCTCCTAAACCTTGAAGAGGGTACGGGTCTTAATCACTGAGACTGCCAGGAGATGGGTCTGCATAACAACCCTACTTAACCAGCCTCATGGACTGTGCCTTTCCTGGTCACCTGCCCTCAACTTTCTGTCTAGAGTCCAGCCCTTTTTGCCTTTGTCCATTCAGTTCTTCACAGTTTGTCACACTTGTTAAAGTTGTTTATAAATCCCCAAGTCTAATCACCTTCTTGAGTTTTCACCTCTTTTCCATGAAGTTCCAGAACATGCAAAATAAAAAATCAACATCAATAAAATCTGCACATCTTTATCTCCTGTTAATCTTTTATCAGTTTAGTTCATAAGCCCTAGGTACCTAATATAAAAGAAAAAGAGAAACATTTTTCTCTCTCTGCATGCTATTAATATACAAGCTGGTTGGTGATCATTAGAATAGTGACTTTAAAATTTCATATAATGTTCAGACCCATACATATAATCTCAGTACTTTGCAGATAGAGACAAGAGAGTAAGGAGTTCAAGGCCATCCTCAGTCACATAGTGAGTTCACAGTCACTATTAGATTCTTTCTCAAAAACCCAAAAATATAGGGGCTGGAGAGATGGCTTCTACAGTAGTACTAGCTTCTCTTACAAAGGACCTGGGATGAGTTCCCAACAACCACATGGCAGCTAACAACCGTCCAAGACTCCAGATCTAGGTGATCCAATGCCCTTTTCTGACTCCACACATGGTGTACTTACACACATACATATACATAAAATAATAAATAAATAATTTAAACCTCCCAAAATAAAGTAAAATTTCATATGTGGCTCAGAGTGTTTTCTTTGGAACTGAAGCTTTGTGGATGCATCTACCATGTAGTAGTGACAAAGACTAGAGGCAGTCCCTGCGATTTTAAAGAAACGTGTACTCAGCTCTGTGTATTTGCAGGGAAAAGAGAAGTGAATTCAGAGGTTTCAAAACATGAAGGATTGTGCTAGAAAGAAGAATCTAGAAGACTACAGAGAAGAAAGAAGAAAGTCCACGAGAGTAGGAGGAAGCAAAAACACAGCTCCGTTCACCACCTTAAAGAGTTTCTGCCTCCCGTCCCAAAGATGGACCAGAATGCACTTCTCAATTGTCTAAATGTTTGGTAAGGTGTCCACAGCCCTCCTATTCCCAAGGGAAATACTCTACCAAAAAAGAATGGAAGGGAGAGAAAACGGAAAGGACAGAGGGAAGGATAAAAACCTACTTAATCATCAACATGATAGAAAAGTATTTTATTCTCATTCTGTGTATAAAACAAACACACACACACACACACAGAGACAGAGACAGGGACACAGAGAGAGAGACAGACAGATAGAGAGAGACAGAGAGAGAGAGAGAAGCTTGCCAGAATACAAACTCAAGACTGTGTGTATCTCTGAAACTCATAGTCTTTTCACTTCCTGAACTCTGACCCTGTGTTTTGAGAAGGCTGTACTCTGAAGCTTCATTTACATATGCATTTGAACTTGATCTGTGACAGTCTGAAGCTGGGAAATATTTACAGCATATTTACAGCATCAGTAATTCTACTCTTTCTACAAGAACCACTCTTCCAAACACAAATGACAGTTCTTACTCTTCGCCAAATCATTAAAGTTTTTAGAAGTATTTCAACTTTTATTAAGAAAACTCTGTCAAAATCTATTTTAGTAGAGTCATACATGTGACATTCCCATTTTCTAATTCTATTCTATTTAGATAGGTTCATAGAAGAGTATGACTAATAAACAGCATCTTGCGGAGCAGCTGTTAGCCAAGAGTGTCACCTTCAGCCAGAGCTCCCTGCCCAGTTAGGCAGTATAGGTGGGAATAGCTAATCAGCCAGCATTATCTGCTAGACTTTCCATAGAGCGCTTCCTAAGAGCTAGAGAAAGACATTCACTGATCAGATAAAATGTGGTTCATCTCAAAGGAGCTCAGAATATTGGCACATTGTCTGCTTTTTAACCATATCCCTATGACATCAGACTAGGTAAAGAATGGACTTGTCTGTCTTAAAGATAAGGAAACCAAAGCTGAGGGTTTAAATGACTTGCCCAAGGTCATCCAGGAAAATCAGTGGATTAGAAAGCTCAGCTCAAGTTTTCTGCCTTATCTGATAAACCTAGGATATCTAATCTCAAACAAGGGTGACACTTCTCTGGTGTGTGTGTGTGTGTGTGTGTGTGTGTGTGTGTGTGTGTGTGTGAAATATGACAGTGAGCTCGCTCACTTCATTGTCACTAAACTTTGCATGACGTAGAGAAAACTGGCATAGTCTCTGAACAAAAATTCATTAAGTGTCCCCCTCCTCTTTTTTTAAAGGACAGTGAGGGCTGGAAATGTGGCCCAGTGATACTGTGCATACTCAGCATGCTTGGAGCTCAAGGTTTCATCCCCAAACCCCCCAACGTATCAATTAAACTAAACTAAAATAAAATGAGGGCTGGAGAGATGGTCCACCAGTTAAGAGCACAAGATGCTCTTGCCGAAGACTCTGGTTCACTTCCCAGCACCCACATGGCAACTAATAACTGTCTGTAACTCCATTTCCAGGGGATCTGATGCCCTCTTCTGGCCTCCTCAGGTACCAGGTACACATGTGGTACACATATCTACATGCAGGCAAACATACACATAAACTAAAAATATAAATCTTTAACAAATCAACTAACATAATTTTATTTTGAATAGATTTAAATTTTTAATTACATTTATTTATCCATTTGTGTGTGGAGGTGGGTGAGTGTTCCTGCCCCAGAGCGTGTGAAGTCAGACAACAACTTTGGGGAGTGGCTGGAACTCAGGTCAGAAGGCAGCAGTGCCTTTACCTGCTTCATGGGCCTTGAAATAGTCTTGATATTTTTATGTGATCAGCCATGTTGGAAACAAAATAAAAAGCAGGTGTGTGTTTGGGAGAACACATTAAATTTATTTTCTTTAAACCTTTGCATTTTGGATTTGGAGCAAGAAAAAAACATTTGTTTTAATCAAATGATATATATTAACTAAATAAAATTTCTTAGGCCAATGTTTGTATGCTCTAAAACTTAAACATTTTATTCTAATTTTATGGTAATTATTGTGGTGGGTGATCGCAAGTCTTTGTTGGAATTCTTCATTTACATGGTAAATTAATCATGCTTACTCATCATTAGCACTAATTTAAAATCATGACAATACGGAAGATCTGTCACAAGTGACCTGTTGAAGGCATCTGGATCTTTAGAACTCCCACAATCAACACAAAAGGTTTCGAATCTCAGAAGACCCCCCAGCTTTGCCAGGATAACAACACTTTTGTTGTTGGATACCCACCACTGAGACACTGCTCCTAAAGGGACAGTGTGCTCAGAAGAACTGAGGCATAGCATGTGCCAGTGAGCTCAGTGGGACCCTGCCAGGCATCTGCCTTTCTTTCCTTTTTTTTTTTTTTTTTTTTAAAACTTTTAAAAAAATTTTTATTTTTATGTGTTTGCATGTATTGCCTGCATGTAGGTAAGCACACCCGTGTCGTGCAATGCCTGCGGAGGTCAGAAGAGGCTGTTGGATTCCCTGGGACTGGAGTAATGGACAGTTGTTAGCTGCCATGTGGGTGCTGGGATTCAAACCCGGGTTTTCTGCAAGAACAACCAGCATTTTTAACCGCTGAGCCATCTCTCCAAACTTCAGCCTTTCTTTTTTAAAAATATTTTATTAGTTTTATGTGTATGAGTGTATCGCCTGCATGTATGTAAGTGCACCTGTGTCATTCGATGCCCAAGAAGATCAGAAGAGGGCCACGGATCTCCTGGAAC